CCCGCCGCTGTGGGCCGCCTCGGCCGCCGGGCACCTGGGGGTGGTGCGGAGCCTGCTGGATCACGGCGCCTCCGTGAACCAGACCACGCTGACCAACTCCACGCCGCTGCGGGCCGCGTGCTTCGATGGGCACCTGGAGATCGTGCGCTACCTCGTAGGGGAGCGTGGCGCCGACCTGGAAGTCGCCAACCGGCACGGACACACTTGCTTGATGATTTCTTGCTACAAAGGACACCGGGAAATCGCACGTTACTTGCTGGAGAAAGGGGCCGACGTCAACCGCCGTAGCGTGAAGGGGAATACTGCCCTGCATGACTGTGCCGAGTCGGGCAGCCTGGAGATCCTGCAGCTCCTGCTGCGCTCCAAAGCCCGCATGGAGAAGGACGGCTACGGCATGACTCCTCTGCTGGCCGCCAGCGTCACCGGGCACACCAACATTGTGGAGTACCTCATCCAGGGCGAGCTGCGGCAGGAGGAGGCCGCGGGGAACCAGAGTGGGACTTGTGCGGCAGGCGGGGGCCATCCGAGGGGCTGCGGTGCCGGCCAGGAGTCTCCTCGGTGCTGTGCCGGAGAGGGGCAGGAGCAACGTTGCGCCTCGGCTTGCGCTCAGGACGAGCAGCACGTCCCGAACGTGCTGTGCACTCGGGAAGCGGCTGTGGAAGCCCTGGAGCTGCTGGGGGCCACCTTCGTGGATAAGAAGCGGGACCTTCTGGGAGCCCACAAGTACTGGCGAAGGGCCATGGAGCTCCGCTGCGAGGGGGGGCAGTACCTGCCGAAGCCCGAGCCGCGACAGCTCGTGCTGGCCTACGACTACTCGCGGGAGGTGAGCTCGCTGGAGGAGCTGGAGGCCCTCATCACCGACCCGGACGAGATGCGCATGCAGGCCCTGCTGATCCGCGAGCGCATCCTGGGCCCTTCGCACCCCGACACTTCCTACTACATCCGTTACCGAGGGGCCGTCTACGCCGATTCCGGCAACTTTGAGCGCTGCATTAACCTGTGGAAATACGCCCTGGACATGCAGCAGGGCAACCTGGAGCCTCTCAGCCCGATGACCGCCAGCAGCTTCCTTTCCTTCGCGGAGCTCTTCTCTTACGTGCTTCAGGACCGCTCCAAGGGCACCTTAGCCACGCACTTGGGCTTCTCCGACCTCATGGGAGTCCTGAGCAAAGGGGTGCGGGAGGTGGAGCGGGCGCTCGTGCACGGCAAGGACCCTGTCGTGGACTCGGCGCAGTTCACCAAGACCCTGGCCATCATCCTGCACCTGGTGTTCCTCCTGGAGAAGGTGGAGTGCACGCCGGAGCAGGAGCACCAGAAGCGGCAGACCATCTACCGCCTGCTCAAGTGCAGCCCCCGCGCCAAGAACGGCTTCACCCCGCTGCACATGGCCGTGGACAAGGACACCACGACGGTGGGCCGCTACCCGGTGGGCAAGTTCCCCTCGCTGCACGTGGTGAACCTGCTGCTGGAGTGCGGCGCCGAC